TGAAAAATAACAGTGGTGTAGTTTTGTAAAATTCTGCAACTCTTTTTCATAGAAAAGCTGCAGAATATTTATTCATTTAACATAGCTATTCTTTATTTCTATAACCAAAAAGTAGCATCAAGCCATCAGATGTAATACTCAATCTTTGCTATTTTTATATTCAGAATTATTTGATTTTGCGGTTTACTTCTTGCATTCATTTTTTGGCTCCCAAAAGCATCTAAGACTTCCAGGAGCTTTCTTGTGTTCTCAAGTTTGTTTTTTTTTTGTATCCTCAGTCTTTTAGGCTGTTTATGAACTCATTTTGAAAAACGTTAAACTAAAATTTTAATATAATGATTATATTACTAGGAGAAATTTTTACTCCATGTATATGAAAGGACATCACAGCAAAACTCGTCCCAAACTGTCCTTATTGTCTTTGCATCCATCACAAATCTCACAAACTCATGATATTTGAAGAGACTCATGATATGTGGAGAGACTTACATGTTAAGTAATCAGATTCACAAAAGTTCACATACCAAGTCTGACCAAAGAGAATCAATAGGATGCTCAAAAGGGAGGGGTGTCTGTGTGTCAGAACAATTTCTTCCCACCACACAGGACCCCACTCACACAGTGGGTAGATGAGTTGGCAGAATTTTAGGTATCTAAATCACTTCAGCTGTAAAAACTTTGGTATCTGTATGTCCTGAGATACCAAAGTGTATTAGTCAAGATTTTGTAGATCACAGTTTTTACATCTTGGCCAACTAACATGAAGTATATCACTCTTTGGATTTGAGGTTTTAGATGTTTTTTTAACAGGGCTGGCCATTTGCCTTGCTTTGATTTCTCAGTATGTGAGCTAAGGAGAAGCTTCAAGGTGTTTGAAGTTGACTCCCAAAGATCTATCCCATCCTTTCAACATGTCCAAGTGCTTTGGAAAGGAAAGGATTGCATCAATATTGGAAGGTTAGAATACATATGAGTCCCAGATATAGCACTTGGTAAGGTGTTGGAATGAGGTGGAAGAAAAATCATCAGCTCCCTGTCCATTTATTCAGTCTATTTATTTGCCTGTATGGCAAACATTCATTATTCAAACTGGTGTCTTTATTTGATAAATGTGCTGGTTTGGCCTTGATTGGCTCGGGGGCACTTCACGTTGTAGCCATTCAAGCTGACTCTTCTCTGCCTCCTCACTGAGTGGAGCCAACATTAGAAAACAGACTCTTGGCAAAATGGGGATTTGCCTGTGGGAGCATTGCCTGAGCCCTGAAAGTTGGTCTTGCTCTCCCTGTAGCTGGGCCACTCCTCACAGCAGCAATCTCCTCTCCCACTTCCAGTGCCACAGCTCCACCTCTCCAGGGGCAGTGAGTCCTGTCTGTGTCTTTGGGACAGCCAAATTCAGGTCTGCCTACACTGCCATGAGCCCTTGGGCCAGCTCTAAACTGGTGTATGAACAAACACTTCCCTCCACCCCATCTCCCTTGTTTTTTACAGCAACAACCCCAGAGCCACAGGCCAGACCCCCAAAATAATACTGGTTACAGTTCACTCACCCATTTGCCTTTCTAGCCTAATGTGTAGCTTTATCCGTTTTTTAAGTTACCAGAGTTGTTAAATCATTACTAAATCAGGCAACGGATAGGAACTTTGAAGATGGATTGTAGTAAGTCAGATTTGGGAAGTTTTGCTAATGAAACATTCCAGTTCTTTGTTCTCCCTTTCTTCAAAGAACATTAAACTAATGAATCGGCTTTGACTGTATTTTTTGTTAGTATGTCACAACTTCAGTGTCCTTTTAATTGCATAGGAGCCTTGAAAGTGTGTTTTTTAGATTCAGTGCTGAATTTGAAGGAAGCATGAAGTGCTTTTCTGGACTTTTGCACTGCCCTTTTTCACACCTAACAAATGCAAAGCCATTAGGAAACAGCTTGCCTGGAATGACCCAAAGTACAAAGAAGTGGTAAGAAAAAAGGACTCTTTCCCAGCAGGCAGAGCTATCACAGCAGTTCTGATGGCAGAGCATCACTGTTTCTTTTTCTGTTCACATTTCAAATGCATCTGTCACTGTAGTATCTAGGAATCAGTAGGAGAACGAGGAGGACTGAGATTAAAGAAACTAATCTGAGCTGAGTTAAATACTGCCAGCATTGATGGTCATGCAATTTTTGGTCCAGGCATTTAGCAGGAGGAAGGGACAAGAGTACATTTCAGTGAAGAAGGTACAGTAGGAAAATACAGTCCCATAAATTTGGGGGTTTTTTCAAATTATCTATGTATTTAAATCCATAGCAAAAAACTTCTCAAGAAACAAAGTCACAGAATATCACTAGTACTTCAGTAATTTTTGGTATCAAGCAGGGAGGAGGGCCTTGAATCTTGAGTTTCCATCTCATGCTTATTAGACAATTTTTAATATGTCTTGTGGTTTCAAGAGATCCCCCAGAATGAAAGAGATTCTTGAACTCAAAGTAAGTATACAGACAGTTAAAATTGGTTAAACTACAGGTGTGCTCTAAAGTCAGAACACAAGCAATAATATCATCTGACCAAGCTGCAGTCATTGGAGTATCTGATGTTCAAGTTGCAGATAGCTGGATGCTGTGCTAGAGAAAATCAGATTTTCAGTCCTCTCTTCTCACGCTCCAGATTGGTGTCTAAATCTGGGAGTTACTCCCACACCTTACATTCAGAGTCAGCCTGGGATGGGGATGCTTATTAAAGGGAAAGTTGCTTTGCTGTAGATCATTCATATCCTTGTTGTTGCCCAGATGTAAAGCATTCAAGAAGCTGAATTACACTGTATGTGTACTGTCTTCTTCAGTGTGTCCACCACAAATGAAAGAGAGCTAGTAACAAGCCTTAAAATTGTAATATTCTGTCTATTTGTGTAGGACTGATACTGTATGAGGAAGAGAAATGCAAGGTTTGGTCCTTAAGATCACCTTTCCTATTTGCCAAGAAGAAATGTTAGATTTGTTTTAATGAAATATAGGCTAAACAAAGCTTTGCTGAGAAGGTGATTATTTACTAAATAAATTTTAAAGCAGGAGATTGGAACAAATATGACTGACATAGAGCAAACTTAAATCCTACACTGGGATAAACACTTCAAAACTAAACTCCATTTAAAAAAAATAAACACGAGTTTGTAGGAGCCTTAGTTCCACTGAGAAGTTGTGCTTTTAAATCTCTAAGAAGTTTAAAGATGTGCTCTAGGTGAAAAAAAATGAGCAAGAAACAAGCTACAGAATAAATCTAAAATACAGTCTGCATGTAGGAGTTTCTCTTCTCCTTCAGTTGCAGTCAGTGAATTCATAGGTATGTGGGAAGACTGAAGAGTCTTATACCACTGCAGTGGTTCCCAACTGATGAGCAAAGTAGCCACTGTCACTTAACAGACTGAGTAGGTAATGCCAAGGAAGCTCAGTGGAAAGAGAAGCAAAATGTGTCGAGAGAGAAGGAGGGGGGAAAAAACCCAAACACCAAATCAACCCATTCTGCTAAGGCAGCTTGAAGGTGGCCCATGTCTGTGCAAAATGTGGGATCCTGGAATGGTCAGGTGTTATTATCCAGTGAAAATGTAGAGTGCATACAATAAAATGAATTAGTTGTTGCAAAGCATCTAGACATTCTGGGAACTGAGCCAGTAGGAACAGCAAATGATCAAACAAAAATAATGCTGTTCTTCTAGGAGAAGAATGCGAATGTTGCTGTCGTACAGCATTTTCACATAGCTCAGACAGCAACAAACAAGATGCAGAGCAATGGGTTATAAATGCACTGTAAAAATTTATTTGCTTAAGCTGGGAGGTGATGGGATCTGGTGGAATGTACCCCATTCCTTTGAGGGAGGAAACCTTGTGTGCTGGTTTCACTTCTGCTTTAGCCTTGCTGTGGGGAAAGGGAGCCTTCTTTTGAAGGCGGCAGTGAAATAAAACGTTGAGGTGCAGGGAACATCATCTTCTCTTTGCTGGCATCAGTCTGCAATATCTTACTCTTTAAAGTGTCACTGACTCACTGAAATATATTTTGTACACCCCCTCAGCTTAGTCTTATAGCTCACATCAGTAGGTTTCCTGGGTTTAGGTTGAATTATGGCTCTGTGTGCTGCTGGAGGTTCTCAGTTCCAAGGAATTAGAGCTTGTCTCCAAAATCCCAATCTTTCTTCTTGCAAACCAAAGCTCAGCCCATTGGGTCACACGATGAGCAAGGGGAATATGGCACTAGAGGGACCATTGATGAGGCTGTATCCTGTCAGGGAGGAGTCTCACCAAATGATGTGGCTCTAGCTGATCCCATGTTGCTGGGCAGCAGGTCACAGCATTTTTCAGAGCCACCAGTAGAACTATGGAGGTGAACGAGGTGGTGGGGGAGCAGTTCTGTGCCATTGTTATGCAGCTTAGGTTTGGAGTTTCTGGGATCACTCACCCTAAGACCGAGATATGGCTCCACCTATTTAAAAGAAACAGAGCCCAAGCCTCAGTGGGCAATTTAAAAAAGATGACTGATTGCTCATACAATGATTTTCCAGCTGCTTTGGGGATAACTGGACATGGAAATATCTCCTTCATTATGAAGGGATTTTACAGTAATTGCTTGACTCATTATCAACTTCAGCTCACCCTCCCACTGACCCTAACAAGGTATGACATTATTTGGCAAGAGTAAAGATGCAGTGGAAAACTGCTTTCAACATTCTTTCCACAGACTGGAAGATACTTGTAAACACACTTTAAACCTCTTTTCCTTTCCTGAAATTGCAGGACCGTGGGTCTAAATATCTGATTACTCACCTAGCCAGTGTTGAAATGTTCAGGTACCACAATAAAAAGGGCATATATTTACCTAAGATAATACATTAATTCAAGGTTCTATTAGACCTCAATTTGCAAGACATGCCTTATACTCATTAATTTAATGTTAATTTTCATTTAGCAGCCCTAATGATTATATAGGTCAAGAAAACTAAAATATCTTTATTCTCTGGGGTTTTCTTATCTCCTTAGAGTACGCTCGATTTGAGGCAAAAATCCATGACCTGCGTGAGCAGATGATGAATCACAGCATGAGTTCTGGGTCTGGCTCCCTGAGGACTAATCAGAAGAGGTCACTGTATGTCAGGTAAGCAGGAAGAGCTTTCTCCTGGGAATACATCACAGCTACCTTGTCTGTGCCTGATGTGAGGTGTTGGTGTGGCAAGGTGGGAAAGAAGTCTGAGGAACTGCCTTGAAATGAACTGAGAAACGCATCCATCTTACAAGCACAGCATCATTAATGAGAAAATTGGATAAAAGCCCTATTTGCCCTATTTGACCATTTCAAGTAATGTGCAAAGAGCATGACACTTTTATAGTGATTTGGGTTTATGAGATGAGCACTTCTTAGCTCTGTCAGTATCTGAGCTGGATACTGGGGAGTAATACCACAATGTGCTTCTGTATGAGGTCTTGCCCAGACATGGAGCAAGCCTTTTCAGGAAGAGCACCTTTCTGCCAAAACCTTTTCCTTGCAAAACACAAACTCTTATATGCTATTCTAAATGCTGCTACTATCCCCTCCCATATGTTTACCCTTCTATCAGTCTATGCTGCAAAGAATTTGCCATCTACCTAGCAAGATCAAATGTGCAGATGGTAAACAAGCTGCTGTCCATAGCTTAAATGGGGTAGGGAATAACAAAGGAATTACCTTTGTTACTTACTGGAAGCAGTGGTTGTAGTTTCACCTTGAATGTACGAGTCTGTTGCTGGAGTGAGTCTTGCCCAATTGCCCCAGCAAAATTCTTGCTGTCACTCTCCCCTTTTGGGACTTATGGAGACTATGGGACTCTGTCAAGTATTTTAATAATCTTAATAATTATGCTTCTCTAGGCTTTCATTTTCATTCTCCCTTTGTCCCCTCTATCCTCCCCATGCTCAGCATATAATTTGAAATTTCTTACAATCGTGAAGTAGAGGGAAGCAATTTGTCAGCCTCTAGGCAGTGATAATTATTCACAGGGGAGCTAATTCAGGTGATAACATTGCAGAGATCCAATTAAGGCTAAATTCTACATTTTGTCATTATGTTCTCAGCATGAAGGAGTAAGGTAGTTGAGAAGGAAGGGAAAACTTAAATGTTAGCACGAAGGGTCTGATTCTAATGGGCAACAACCACATGAAGCACTAATTGGTACTGCTGTCAGAAAGAGCAATGACTGAAGGGACATGGATCACTCTTACCAGTGAGGTTGATGTTGGGCAAGGTCAGATTAGAAGTGTTGAGGTTTTCAATGCATCTCTAACCTTCCATGACCTGAAGTAGGTGTTTTTTCCAGACCAGAATGACTTTGTTGTCATGAGCTTTGATCAGCTCCCTGAATTTGCATTTTATTAAAAGCTAAAATTGTGTGTGTAAGCATGGATAGATACAAGCTTCCTTTCTCGAGATAAGCTAGGACTCCAAAATGTAGGGAGTAATGGTGTGAGAAGCCCAAGCCAGCAAATGCAGGTTAATTGAGGTGTGCACATAAAGGGCAGGGTCCTGAACACCTTACTGCAGTTTGAACTGCACCAAAACTTGATCCCCCTGTATGAGCATTGACCTGGGAAGCTCTGCTGAGAACTGAGGCTTGTTAACTTGGACTCTGAGCTAAGCTATCTGTGCTGCATCTGGACTAGCCTAGCTCTCCTGTACATTGCTCTGTGTGCACTGATGAGCCTGGTTTTCTGCTACTTCATGAATTCTGGCTGTGGTCTGTCTCACTAAGCTGCTATGCCCTGGTGCTTCACTGCAGGAGCCTTTGATGTCTTAGCTGCTTATCTAAATGGAGCTTCCCAAACCACAAATGCAAAACCTGTTCTTTTATTTCACAGTCATTCCAAAAAATGCCCCAAAAACCTCTGAAGCAGAAAACCACAAAAGCCTCAGTCACTTCTTTTAGCATTTACTTTTTTCTCTCAAACCCACACACTTGGCTGTGTCCATGTCTGAGCAGCCTGTTTGAGAGGCTCTGTATCTCACATAATTCCATAACGTGTTTGTAGTGCAGTAGCACCTGCAGCCTTGTGCCTGTCACTGTCAGTTCAGTTCATAGATACTGATTACAAAGGTAGCTTATGTCTATGTTAGGCACATAGGAAAAATAAACGTGGGCTCAGAAATGTACTTGTTTTCAGCGATGAAAATTTTCTTTATGGATCCTCTTTACAGGCAGGGCCCATGTGAAAAGCTAGGATGTAGCATTTGGTTTCTATTCTTACAACTCTGGACATTTCTGTTTCAATGGGTTATTTTAGTCAGCATGTGCAAGAAAGCTAGAGGCAAGTGACCATATGCTGTTGTAAATCTCTAGCTGTAATGCCAAGTTTATGATTCAAGTTTGCTGTTTTCCTTTCTTTGGGATGTAGTGATTTTGCTGTCCTTCACTGAGTATGGCAAGCATGGTTATTTTTTAACCAGAAAGCTGAATTGAAGAAAATCACTATATTCTAGGCAACAGAAGGAAATAAATTAAGATGCATAGGTTGTAAGAATTGAAAATAAGTGTCCTTACCTGCTCATAGAAAAGTCAACGAAAGAGGGTGAGTGAGAAAAAGTAAAGCTACAGCCACAGTGGATATGGGGTTCACTGGATGCAGGGTTTTCTTCTTTGCCTTATAGTCTGTGATTTCCCCATCCAGACCCTACCAAAAAAGCACTGAAATATGTGAAAGAAGCTGTATTCAATCGAGTGAGGCAAAATGTAATATGGGGTTAAAGGGTTGAATGTAGGTGGCTTAAGTAGGTGGCTAAAAGCAATTAAAAGTCTCACTTCGGGAGTGTAAATAACACAGGAAAGAAATCAAGAATTACTTTTTCAGAGAAATTATATAGCTCTTTGATGTGATCTTTTATCTCTGCATACTCTGGTGTTTCAGATTTGTATTATTTTTTTCTTTCTTTAGCCCAGTCTGTCTCTCTGATACCTCCTGGAATATTTCCCATGAATTTCTTGAATTCTTTTTTTCTGTACTACCTGTTGCTTTTTTATCTGTGTTTGGGATGTCATCAGAGAGTCCACAACACTAAAGACAAAGTGTGAGTCTCCAGGAGAGGATGGAGCAGTAGGAAATGCTTTTAGTCCTTTTGGGAGCCTACAACCTCTTTGTCACTAAATCTACTGAGAAAAAGAAATACAGAAAAAAATGCAGCATATGAGAATGGATAGGAAACAGAAAATTATATTATTCATGCTTTATTTGGTAGTGAAAGTGAAAGAATTTAAATTTAATTCACTAAGCACAACGATAAGCTAAAAAAGAATCTGCTGTTATAATTTTTAAGTCATTGAAATTCAGTCATCAGTCATCAGCTCATGATCAACCAGGAGAATAAACAAACCCATTACCAGCTAAATGCTGTGCTATATACATCCATAGCAGGGTCTTATGCAAATTCACGTCTTCCTTTTTGTCTATTTAGCTGAAGGTTTTAAAATCTGCTCTTGTAGGATTATATATTTGTTTGTCTTTAAATAAATACATGCTTTGCTTTGTCCTTCTAGGTCCATATCAGTAGTCAAATTTTTTAGGTTGCATATGGTTACTGTTCCTACTCCTAGGAAATGCCAGATCATGTTCTTTAACTCATAGGCTATGGAACATTTTGAAGAGTTAAGCATCAGAGGAGTCCTTTAAAATGTTTGGTGAATTGGAGCAGTCACTGAAACTTGAACTTCCAAGCTTTGGAGAAAAGTGGGAGCTTAGGCAGTTTTCCTGTTGTTTTACTAGATTATTCTTGAGCTTAAAGTACTTGTGTTAGATTCTGAGGATAAGAGTAAACACTTCTGTAATTGCTTCTATACATGCAAAGGAAAAGTTTTCAGGAATTTTCTGGCATCCAAAACTGCCATCTTAGTGTCTGGTTTTGGTTTGCAAGTGAAAATTAGTGAGATACACTTAGTACAAACAGTCACTGAACCATTTAAGCTTTATTCAAATGAGACAGCTTCTGAAATAATTTTATTTAAAAATTCCAGTTGACCAAAGCCACAACCAGGCACCATGGAAGTGTATCACTCTGCAGAAATAACTAAATCTTCACACCCCCCAACCCTTTCACTGCCACTTCTCTGTTTTAAGTCTGCTCAGTACTGTCCCTGACCAAGTATGACTTTACCTCATCAGGACTCCTTGTTACCATCTATGAAGGGACTGGTTGAGCTTACTGAAATGCATTCAGCACTGCTTACAAATGTATCAGTATAAAGTGAATGGTACAGTTGGCTGTAAAGGTGGGGATGGAAATCAGGGCTGGGACAGGGCTAGATCCAGCTGCAACGTCAGAAGAAGTGGTTCTGCAGCTGCCTCTTCACTGTGCATGGAGGAAAGCTACAGTGGGAAGTGGGCCAAGGGCTCTTCCCAATAAGATGAAGATGCTTATGATCAACTTTTTTATTTCCAGTCCATGTTGAACTATTTATAAAAAATGTGCATGGTGCAAAGAGGTGCCTCTTAGTCCACTACATTTTTGTCTTCTTCTAACTGGAATTATTGCTAAGCATTTCATAGCTGTGATAGATAAGTGCCATATAAACACGTAGTATTATGTGTTAAAAGTGTGTGTGTTCTGGTTAATTTCTTATTGAGCCATGAGGAAGAATCTGAGCATTTGCCATCACAACTTAACTCAGTAAAAGGGAAGTCAAAGCTGAGGTACTTTGGGTGTTGTACTCTCATTTCCAGCACAATGGATTCTCCATTAGTTATTAGATACCTTCATACAAATTTCTGTACTTAGAAATTAGCTTGTTGCCATATCATAGAACTATATATGGTTTGGGTTAGAAGAGACCTTAAAGATCATCTGGTTTCATAGCCCTGCCATGGCCAGGGACATCTTCCACTAGAGAGACTTTGATTTTCAACAGATCACAGAAATTCTCAGTTTTAAATTTTTCAGGGCTACAATTGAAATTCATTTGAGGCAGTTTGTGAAGATTGAGTCTGATATCCAGGGCTTGTTTTATGCAACGTCTGTTACAGCCACCTTCAGCCTCCCTGTGTTCTTTGAGGCAGTGAACCCTCACAGGAGAGTGAACATCAGGTCAAGGCTCCATGGGCAGAATTCTCCTGGGAATCTGTACAGCCAGTTGCAATGCA